GCATTCTGGAATAAGATAAAAATTATTATGGCTCCGTTTTTGTTGCTTTCGCTATTTATCTTTATTTATTGGGGCTTCAAAACCGCAAAACAATAACAGTGGCGGTGTCAGGAAGTTAAGAAGTTGAAGGATGGATGGTTATTAAAAATTTCGTTTTTTTGCTTCACATTTATTTCCTATCGTCTTTTTTTTTCTTTTGTTCCCACTAGTTGATGATGTTGGTGGATCTTATTTTTCTTTTTTTTTTCTTTTTTTCGCTTTTTTGTTCACCCCCCACCCCCGTCTTTGAGACGCACGCCATTTATTGAGTAGAGTTGTTCACACTTTCACCTTCTGTACTCTGTGCTATACACTCTCGTAATTTTTGATTATTTGTGGAGGTTTTCTCCTAACTGGTTTACACGGCAAATTTTAAGTTTTGAGTTGGTGGACAAGAGGTTTTTGTTTTCTTTGTTTGAAATTTTCTTTAACTTGATGCATTTAAAATCCGGGAAGAACTACAATTTCTTTTACTGTTTCTAGGAAAAGACTGACCAAGAATTTAGGAGTGAGAGGGATAATAGTATGAAAGTGTTTAGTGGAAGAATTGCTAATGTTTAAGGGGCAAGATTTCTTAAACAGTTTTTGCTGCAGCTGAGCGTTTAGCCAAAAAAGCATTGAAGGAGCTACACATTGTGTAAAGAGCAGTTTTTCAATAAATTTTTATGAATGATTTTATTTAGATGCGATTACAGATTTTTTAGTTTAAGGTGTATTGAGCGTTCACTAACTTGTAAGTAAAAAGGATGTCTTTGAAAATTGATCTAATTGTAGGTTGAAAAGCTTTCTGTAAGGGATGGCAAAAGAAGACAGGTTATGGGAGGGAGGGAAAGCACAAAATTTGTTGAAAAGCAGGAAAAGGCACAATTCGTAAGTACACACTTTGATTTCGTGTGCTTTCTCTCGCATTTCAAGAGCTGTTATGTATAATATATTATATATACGTGTTTTTTAATAGTTATAGGTCTATAGGTTTTTGCGGTTATTCAAGTGTAAGCGTTGAATCGGATGAGGTAGCAAAATTGTTTTAGTGGCTACGGTTCTTTCAGGTTTTCATCATTGTTTCGTCGTTTTGTTTGCCTGCTTATTGAGGAAAAGGTATAGGTCTGTTTTTTTATGTTGCTTGGGCGGACAACCGGATAAATAGTAGGTACGCAGAATAAAGTTGGTCGGTCAGCTTCCTGGAAACCAATGAGATATCTGGTTCGGGAGGGAATTTTCTCACTCTGCCAAGTGTTGATTGATCTGGTTTCAGAAGTGACTGCCTTAGCCGTTCTTTTCTACTTTGCAACTTCCGTTGCTACAGTTACTGACAGCTGTATGTGTGGACAGTGCGGTGTCTGATTTGGCGGCTTAATAAAGTTGGTTTGCATAGCAGTTTAAGTGTTCTCGGTTGGATACGGAACACTAGTTCTCTACTTCTAGTCTTGGTGGACTTCGTTAGAACTGATCAGATTAATGTTTTTTGTAATCGGAATATCGAACTGTGAACACTTTTTTTTGCTGGATAATAGCTGTTGGTTTTTATCCTGCGATTGGTGGTTTGGGTTTCTAGTTATATTGGGTAAAGATTGTGAATCGGGAAGTCAGTGAGTTTGGTTGTTGCTATTGTAAGCATTTTAAGAGAACATAATTGTTGCCAATTTTTTGTAAATGATTTATTTCGAAATATTATTTTTTCATGACGTTATTTCTTGCCTTTTCTTTATTATTTCGAAAAACTTACGGAACTTGAAAATCAATCTCAAAATAATTCAAAATCAATTTGTTGTGTGTATGTGAATTTTTTAAAGGGAGCTTATTCTGAAGCAAGAAAATTTGCTCAGCTTCCACTCATTAATTTTCACTTTTTTGTTTTTTCTTTACTGCCATTATCTGTTGTGCATTATAGTTTTTTTATTTTCAATTTAATTTTTTTTGATTTCTTACTTTGTCTTGTTAACTGAAAACAACGTTCCGAAGAAGCTATTTTTATTTAGTAGTAAGAATTTCTTTCTATTCTGTTGCAATTTTCAATGAATCGTTTACGATTTGCATTGTTAAACTCGGTGATGAACAGTTGTGCAGTGTTTGTGCACGCGTATTTGTGTGATCTTTTCTAAATGCTTAGCAATTCTGGTGTTTTAATAGTAAAAATGTTGCATTATTTTTGCTTTGTCAGTTTTTTTTTTT